CTATATAGAGTGTGGTGGATTGCTCGAGGACTAGCGATGATTTAAGTGTGGGGTATTGATAATAGGCTAGATTTATGTAATTTGGCAATTGTTTATGCCCTAGTTTGATTATGTTTTACTGTGATAATATAGTTAAATGATGATAAATTGGCTCTAATTGTGAATTTCACACGTTGCAGGAGTGAGTAGCACGTATGAGGACTTAAAGCTGTGATTAGAGCTAAATTGAAGCAAGAAAAGCCCTTAGGAGCTAAGTACATGGGAAGACGAGAAAAAGAAGAGATGAAAAGAAGACCTGGACTAGCGCGGTCACTAGCGCGATCGTGCTAGCCCAGATAGTCGAGGCAGAATGATGGGGCATATGCGCGGTCACTAGCGCATCCATTAGCGCAGTCGTGCTAGCCCAGTTCTGGAAAATTAAATTTCAGGGGTAAACTTGGAAGTTCAAGGGTAAATTCACTTAACCTATAGAAGGTCCAGCTCACCCAAAGATTCACTATCAAGGTTTTCATAGCTTAGTTCAAGGCAAGGAGAGGCAAGAGGTAAGGAGGATAATTCAACATCGAGTTCTTCCTTTCTTCCTTTTGTTTTTACGATTTGTGATGAATTTGAATATTGTTATGATTAACACTAGTATGAGTAGCTAAATATTTAGTCTAAGGCTTTGATGGAACCTATTGAAGGTTAAACTTCTTGTTATGTTAATATAGTTTTCCAAGTTAAATCTCTATTTGTTCAAATATGTTCTTGTTGTAATTAATTGACAGGATCCTCAATTAGATGTGCCTATTTAGTGTGCATAACTCGGAAGAGAGTTCATATTTAGGTAATTGTTGAACAAAACCACTCCCAAAGTATATGATGGATCAATAACTGAGGGTTTAAATGCGGGATTAGGGATAACGAAGTCTTGGGTGCAATCTAAAGTGAACTGTAATAAACAAAGCCAGCTAGCGTATCTCGGAAGAGTGCATCTAGTAAATTATCGTGATCACTCGGGAGAGATTTATGGTAATAAGAGTGCTCATGATTGATAGAGATGATTAGTCAATTCTATGTGAAACATAACCGGAATGGATTCCATCAATAGGGGAAATCATTAGCTTAGAACATTCTCTTGATTGTTTACAACTTAATCATAGTTAGTTTTCAGTTGCTTATTTACATTCCTTCTTAGTTAGTAGAAACATCCTCAATTGTTATTCAGAACGTTTGGGAAGTTGATTCCATAGAATTTAGTAAGTCTAACGAGAGTAATTGATAGGTTAATTCCTTGTGGGTTCGACTCTGGGCTAAATACTCAGATTATATTTGCAACGTCCGCGTGTCCTTTTTATAAGGCATAGTTGGGCGTGATCACCTCCAAAGAGTACAGCTACATAGAAGGGAAAGTATGTGGCTAGCGAGACTACTAATCGAGCGCCACGAGTTACCAGGGCTCAGGGAGAGTCTCATAGTGAGATTCCTTCTCAGACTTCACATACCCTGCCCTTTCCAAAGGAGTTCCGAGGGGAACCAGCTCCAGCGCCCGCCCATGTACGTCTAGCTCCTCATCCAGATGCACTGGGTCAGGAGATGAGAGATTTTATTCAGCTATTAACCCGATTAGTAGCCGCACAGGCTCGGCGTCAGGAAGTACGTATTGGTCATGCAGACAGGTTCGTCAGTGTGAGGGTTCATGACGTCATTAATTTAGACCCTCTGGTATTCACTAAGGCAGATCCAAACGAGGACCCTCAGGTATTTATTGATAGAGTGTAGACAACGTTAAGGGTAATGAAGGCCACTGCGACTGAGTTAGTTGAGCTAGCTTCCTATAGACTACGAGATCTTGCAGTTAATTGGTACGAGTCTTGGGAATTGTCCAGAGGTGAGAATGCCCCTACAGCAGTATGGCAGGAGTTTATAGAAGCTTTTCTTTGTCATTATATGCCACCAGAGCTTAGACGGGCCAGAGTTGATAAGTTCTTGACCTTTCAGCGGGGTAACATGAGTGTTCGGGAGTACATCCTTTAGTTTGATTCGTTGGCTAGGTATGCTCCCACTATTGTATCTAAGATGGAGGATCGGGTGCATAGGTTCGTGATGGGATTAGAACCTCACTTGCTTAACGATTGTATGTCGGTCTCACTTTAGCCAGACATGGATATTTCTCATATTCAAGCATACGCTCAGGGTGTAGAGGAGCATAAGCAGAAACAGAGGGCCGATCGTGAGCATAATAGGGCCCAAAATAAGATAGCGAGGTCTTCGAGTCCTTCTGGTAAGTTTCGAGGTGGTCAGAGGCAACAGTACCCGAGGTATCCAACCCAACCATCGGCTAGCGTGCCCTTTCAGTTTGGCAGTAAGAGATTTGATCGTTCCACATATTATGGGTCTTGTTAGAATTTCAGGGCCTTAGGTTCTCAGTAAAGGGGTGAGTCAAGTAAGATGAGGCCACCCTTGCCATTATGTGCTCAATGTGGTAAGCAGCATATCAGGCAGTGCCGTATGGGATTAGGTGTTTGTTATACCTGTGGTTATCTGGGCCACGTTATGAAGGATTGTCCGATAAGAGGTAATTAAGCATAGCTCAGAAAGCGGGATCTGTAGTTGGTTCGTCATCATCAGTACGCCCCCCTAGGCAAGGTCCACAAGCACCAATGAGTCGTGGTAGGGGCAGAGGCGGAGCATCTAGCTCGAGCAGTCCTTAGAACCGCATTTATGCAATGGCAGGACGACAGGACCAGGAGTCATCGCCTGATGTTGTTACAAGTATATTATCAGTCTCCTCATATGATGTATATGCACTGATTGACCCAGGTTCCACCTTATCATATGTTACTCCGTTGATTGCTAGTAAGTTTGGAATAAAACCTGAATTGGTTAAACCTTTTGAAGTGTCTACACCTATTGGGGACTTAGTAATAGCTAAGCGAGTGTATTGGGGTTGTATAATAGTAGTTTGGTCGATCCGCCGTAGCAGTCCTAATCGAGTTAGATATGGTAGAATTTGATGTTATAATGGGTATGGATTGGTTGGCTTCTTCTCATGCAAATGTTGATTGTGGAGCAAAGATAGTCCGATTTCAATCTCCAGGGGAGCTTCTTTAGTGGAAAGGTAATACGGCGTCACCGAGAGGTAGATTAATTTTCTATCTCAAGGCAAGGAAGATGATCAGGAGCGGCTGTATTTATCACTTAGTTCGGGTTCAGGATATGGAAGTAAAGTTACCAACCATTCAGTTTATCCCTGTGGTTAATGAGTTCTCCGATGTTTTTCCCGATAAGCTTCTGGGTCTTCCGCCAGAGCGAGAAATTGAGTTTGCTATTGACATACTACTAGATACTCATCCAATATCTATTCCTCCCTATAGAATGGCCCTCGTAGAACTGAATGAGTTAAAGGAACAACTAAGGGACTTGCTTGAAAAAGGCTTTATTAGACCTAGTACATCACCGTGGGGGCACCTATGTTATTTGTGAGGAAAACAGACGGCTCCTTACGGATGTGTATTGATTATAGATAGTTGAATAAGGTGACGGTCAAGAATAAGTACCCGCTACCAAGGATTGACAATTTATTTGAATAGTTTCAAGGTGCCAAGTGTTTTTCAAAAATAAACTTGAGGTCTGGGTACAATCAGGTAAGGGTTAAGGAGGAAAATATTCCAAACACAACATTTAGAACCAGATACGGGCACTTTGAGTTTCATGTTATGTCATTCCATTTGACCGATGCCTAAGCAGTATTCATGGATTTGATGAACCGTTTTTTAGGCCCTTTTTGGATCTGTTCGTAATTGTATTTATCGACAATATATTGGTGTATTCTCGTTTAGATGTTGAACATGCAGATCATTTGCGTACTGTGCTCAGAACTCTTCAAAAAAGAAAGTCGTATGCAAAATTCTCTAAATGTGAATTCTGGTTAAACTCTGTAGCTTTCCTTGGGCATATCATTTCGGGTGAAGGCATCCGGGTGGATACACAAAATATTGAGGCAGTAAAGATTTGGCCTAGACCCATAACACTGACGGAGGTTCGTAGCTTCCTCGGTTTGGCAAGCTATTACAGGAGATTTGTAGAGAGATTTTCTTCCCTTTCAGCACCTTTGACAAAGTTGACTCAGAAAGGAGCAAAGTTTCAGCAGACCGATGCTTGCGAGCGGAGTTTCCAGGCATTAAAGGATAGATTAACTTCAGCACCGGTTCTAACGGTCCCAGAAGGGACCAATGGTTATGTTATCTATTGTGATTCTTCAGGTATTGGATTAGGTTGTGTCCTGATGCAACATGGGAAAGTAATTGAGTATGTGTCAAGGCAGTGAAGGAAGCATGAGCGGAATTATCCGACCCACGACCTTGAATTAGCTGCGGTTGTCCATGCACTAAAGATATGGCGACATTATTTATATGGTATTCATGTTGATATATTCACAGATCATAAAAGCCTACAATGTATCTTCAAACAAAAAGAGTTAAATTTATGACAGAGGCAATGGCTTGAGCTATTGAAAGATTACGATGTTAACATTATCTACCATCCAGGAAAAGCTAATGTTATAGCAGACGCATTAAGTCACTGATCTATGGGTAGCTTAGCACATGTAAAGGCCGAAAAAAGGCAATTAACTAGAGATATTCATCAACTGGATTGTTTGGGGGTTCGGTTAGTAGAATCTAACAATGGTGGAGTTGTACTCCAGAATACTGTAAAATCATCTCTCATAGATGAAGTAAAGGAGAGGCAGTACGATGACCAGGAGTTGGTCAAGTTGAGAGAGAGAGTTCCACAGCAGAAGAAACCGTTGTTAGAGCTCAAAGGAGACGGGGTTCTCCGATATAGGGGCCGTTTATGTGTTCCAGATCTATAAGGGCTACGAGACAAGATTATGTCAGAGGCACATTATTCATGGTACTCTACTCACCCTGGGTCAATTAAGATGTATCATGACATTAAGGAGGTGTACTGATGGAACGATATGAAGAAGAACATTGCCAAGTTTGTCGATTAGTGTCTTAGTTGCCACCAGGTGAAGATAGAGCACTAGAAGCCTAGAGGGATAATGCAGACTATAGAGATCCCGACATGGAAATGGGAGGCGATAAACATGGACTTTTTCACGGGTTTACCTTGTTCTCATCGTAAATTCAATTCCATATGGGTAATAGTCAATAGGCTCACGAAATCAGCTCATTTCCTACCGGTGAGATCTATATATACAATAGAAGATTATGCAAAGTTATATATAAAAGAGATAATGTGACTACACGGAGTACCAGTATCTATTATATTTGACCGTAGGGTCCAGTTTACCGCACATTTTTGGAGTTCATTTCAAAGAGGTCTAGGAACTCAGGTGAATCTCAACACAGCTTTTCATCCACAGACTGATAGATAATTCGAGCACATAATTCAGACGCTCGAGAATATGTTACAAGCATGTGTATTGGATTTTAAGAGAAGTTGGGATGAACATCTACTTCTTATTGAGTTTGCATATAATAACAGTTACCAATCCAGTATCCAGATGGCTCCGTAAGAGGCTTTGTATGGGCGCAGGTGCATATCTCCTATAGGGTGGTTTGATGTTGGAGAATCTGGGCTACATGGGCCAGACCTGGTTCAGCAAGCCATAGAAAAAGTAAATTTTATCCAAGATCGACTGGTAACAGCTCAAAGTCGTCAGAAGTCATATTCTGACGTGCGACGACGAGATTTAGAGTTCGGGGTTAATGACTGGGTATTCTTAAAAGTGTCACTTATGAAGGGTGTGATGAGGTTTGGCAAGAAAGGAAAACTTAGCCCACGATATATTGGGCCTTATAGGATCATTCAGAGAGTGGGCCAAGTAGCTTATGAGTTAGAATTGCCCTCAGAATTTGAGTTTGTCCATTCAGTTTTTCATGTATCTATGTTATAGAAGTGCATTGGCGATCCTACCCGAATGGTGCCCACGGATGATGTACAGATTACAGGGGACTTGTCTTATGAGGAAATTTCGATTACCATCCTAGACCGACAAATCCGCAAACTACGGAATAAGGAGGTAGCCTCCGTGAAAGTACTTTGGAGGAACAACAATGTGGAAGAAATGACTTGGGAGGCTAAGGAAGACATGAAGTCTAGATATCCCTACTAATTTCCTCCTTCAGGGAAGGATCGACTGAGACGTCATAACCTCAAGGTATGTGTACGGATTCTTATGTTAGTTATTTTCATGGATCGTGTGAGGTCATTGTCGTTATTGATGATTGTGGTCCTGTGTGGCGTTAGATTATTAAGCTTCTACAGGAAGAGTTGGTAGTAGTGTTGTTACAAGGGAAACCCTACCAAAAGTTATATAGATCCCAGGGAGTTGAACATTCGAGGATGAATATTTCTAAGGGGGGGAAGGATGTTACATCTCGTGTTTTATGTACATTAAAAGTTTCATCTTCAGTTAATCAACGTAGACTCGGGGATGAGATTATCTTGAGGTTACCGTATTTACGCTATTTATAACGAGCGATAAATAAGTATCATGAAGGATAAAGGGTACACGAATTAAAGAAAATGAGTTTCATTGAAAGTGGCCAATTCGGGATAAAATACGGGTCGAGCGATAATACCCGATAATTATAAACTAGTACCATGCAAGGTACCATATGACAATGGTAGTATAATGTATAAAGTATATTAAAAATAAGTAGAATTTTAAATAATTTAAGGAAATTTTTAAATTATGCGGGTAATTGATTAATTACCGGGTAACGGGACATTACCCAGTTAACTAATAAGTAGATAAAATTAATACATTATCCCCAAAAAATGTGGCACAAACCCACAAGACTAAGAGTGACTCTTAGTCATTTATGCTTAGGTGGATACCTAAGGTTATATGAGAATTTAACAAAACAAGACTTGTTATAAGTCTTGTTACATTTACCATTTGGACAAAAGAGAATCAGAGCGTTCATAATCCAAGTAAGAATCCTACATACCATTTTCCTAGTTTCAAATTGCTTCAAAAAAGCAGAAGCTTAATTCGTTCAAGACTTCAAGAACAGAAGTACAATTCAATCCGATTTTTGGGGTTCTAAGTTCAATCCACGAAGGTTTCCAACGAAAATTGTTAGAATCGTAGCAACGTAAAATTTTGTGGTTCTAAAAGAGTACGGTGCAATCTTCAAGAATATTATAAGGAGTTTTTCCTACTACAGGTATGTTAAGGCCATCCCTTCTTTCTTTTTTGCATGGTCCAAGTTATACAGAAGAAACAAGCAAATACACAATTTTCATAAATGACTCTATTCATAGAAATACTAGGAGTCTCTTTGTTCTTGATTCCCCATTTGACATATTATTATATCTTCTATTCATGGGTCTCAAAATAATACGCAGTTGATAAAGTTTATCCGAAAGGAATATTGAGATTTTTAACATATTTTCATGCATTTTATTTATTTATGCATATACATTGACCCATGACCAGATGGCGTTATATACGCATATTTATATGTATATTAATATATATGGGATATGGAAAAAAGGTTACGGCGTTATATACGCACCACCACCTGATCAGTTGGTACATGTTGATGATGTTGCCCACAGTGGCCGAGACGATATGATGGGATGCCCTCAGAGGCTTGATGAAATTATGTACACCCATACCTATGCATACACGACATTTATATGCACGTGCATGACATTATAAATGTTTCAAAATTTACAAAGTTATTCAGATTTACAGGTGGATTTCTTTATTCCATGTTTCATATATTCCTGTTACGTACTGATTTTCATGCCTTACATACTCGGTACATTTTTCGTACTGACGCCCTATTTCACGGGGCCTGCGTTTCATGCCCGTAGGTGCAGGTATGCAAGCTGACGGTCCCCCTTCTTAGGATCCTTGATCAGCGAGAGTTGGCGTGCTCCACTTGATCCGGAGTTGCTTTTGATTTTGGTACGATATGTTTGTATATATATGGGTATGACGTGGCTCAGTCTCGTCTTTGTACAGTTGTATTTCTATTAGAGGTCTGTAGATAGTATGTCTAGTTGGATAGTATATGGCTTCCAGTTTTGAGGTACATAGTTGTCTACAGTAGCCTTGTCGGCTCGCCCTACGTATGTTGTATGTATATGTATGTAGGCCTTTTTGGGCATGTTTCCTTCATGTATATTATTCTCATAATTCAGCAGATGTTATTCGAGTTTATATCTTAGACGCATGCTTAGGGGTGTTTGATAGGTAGGACTCGGGCACCCATCGTCTGTCTTCCAATTGTCTCTTACCACCTCTATGAATGATGTGTTTTCAATCCATAAATTCAAGAATTTAAAGGACTTCTTCACCTTTACTGTGTTAACATTGCAAGAGAACACCAAAGGGGCATGGTCTGAGCCATATTTGATAAGTTGCTCTACTTCTAATGATGGAAACATGTCTTGAAATTGTTGGATAGCTAGATATCTATCTATCCTTTTGAAAATACATGCATCGTCTGATCTTCCATTCCACCATGTGTACAAGCTTCCTTTGAAGCCAACATCATACAGTGCACAAGTATCAACACAATATGCAAAGTCTGCTACTTCATTGTTAGATACTGGCAATCCACCATACTTCTCTTCCTCAGATAAAATGACATTAAAATCACCTCCTACTAGCCAAGGAATCATCATGTCTGAAGCTAAATGATACAGTGATTCCCATAGTTCAATTCTTTCTAAAGCAGTACACTTAGCATACACTAGTGTCACAATCAAATGTTTACCTAGTACTCTATGGAATAACTTAAGATTCAGTTGTTGTTCCATGTCATACAACACCTCTACATCAATATCTTCATCTATGAAAGCCCAGATTTTTCCATTCACATTAGCAACCACAGTTTTTATGTCCAGGCTTCTTCTATATATCTCAAGTTGATCTATGTCTTGCCAAGTCTCCAACCCAATCAGATAAAAATTATACTTCCTATGGAGTTTAATTAATCTTTGAAAAGCTTTTTGAGTGTTCACTGACCTCACATTCCAAATTAAGACATTATCCATTGACATTATTTGGAATTGGAGAGAGCACTCCTCTTTGGTTGTACCCTTACAGGCACAGATTTTTATTTGTGTTTTCTAGCCAGCTTACCACCTGATGTCTTCTTGTCTTATGCTCCTGGGCGATAAGTCTCCCTACTTAGCGATCTACTGGAAATTGGCTGCTATAGATTCCTCATTTACATCCTCACCAAGATCCTCCTGTTCAGGTTCCTCATTGATAATCTGAAGAGCCAAAGGCTTTGGTTCATGGTCCTTTGCTACCATTCCCAACTCCTTTTGACCTCTTTGATTAATAAGAATGCCCTTTGCCTTAATTCTTGTATCACTAAAAGTTTTCTCAGCTAGAATACCAGGGTCACCCATTGCAGATTCCACAATTTAAGTTGCCATATTGCCTCCTTTCTCTGGATCATAGGCCTTTGTATTAATTGAAATTTGATTCTGAGTCTGCTCAGTAGCTATCTTCAATATCTTGTGATGCTGCTCCATGGCATCTACTGATCCTTGGATTGCTTTGAATTGAAAGTTATCACAGACCCTATACTAGGTTAACTGTGTCTGCATTCACATGAACTACTATTCCATTGATTTCTGCACCCTTGCCTTAAGCTGTTTGGTTGCTTGATCCAACTGTATCACCTATCACCTCCATAGGAACAATGTCAAAGTGCCCCTCACCCGGAACCTTCCTCGAACGATCTCCAGAATTAGCAGATGACTGAACAGTACCCCTAGGGTTCACTATTCCATTGGATTTCTTCTTAGTTGAACCTTTGATGCCTGATCCACCGTTAAATTCCACGTGTTTGTGGAGCAGTTGTAACATCATACTGCTCTATTCTTTCTTAATAGTTAATCCTAGTGATATGTCCACTATGGTTTGCTATATCATCCAGGGTATCACCTTTGTTCTCCTTTCCTTATCACCTTTGTTCTCCTTTCCTTCTCCTTGATGAATGATTTTCCCATTGTGTTCGAGATTATTCTCTATATTTTCCACCTTTTCACTCCAATGAGACTTATTAGCAAATGTTTCATTGTTATTCACATTGGTTTTTGTAGACTCTTCAATAGTTTGAGAGGATACATCTTGACAGGAAGTTTTTCCAATACCATTGAATTCCCTCAATTCATCCTTATTCGTGCCAGATCTCCTGTTAACCCATTCGATTGTGGACTCCTTCCTATTAGCCTCTTCAATCCCTGTACTGTAGGATAGGGGGTGTTTTCTTTCCTCATGCTTTTCTTCCCAGTTTTCTTAGGTGTGGATTTCTCAATTGGCTAAGCATTCGAAACCATATTCTCCTCATTCACAATTGTTTCCACTGCCTCCTTCTTCACATGCACAACTTCTTATATTTCCCCTTCTTCCAATAATGCAAGCTTGTTAGTTGTTTGCACTGAATCTACTGCAATTTGTTCAACCTTGTTACCTCCTTTGATAGTTACTTCCGTATCCTTCTCTTTGTCCTTATCCTCGGTATTCTTTTTTGATCTGTTGTCTCGTACTTCTTGCCATCTACCATTGGGATAGCCAACCACAATACCACTAGTTAACTTTTTAATAGGAGGAGACATGTTTAATTTTGTCTGTTTCTTGTCACCATCTACATTTTGTTCTTGGTCCATAACTGGAATCAATTCTGGGTGCAGTACCCTACAATCAGCTTCACAATGACCTTGTAACTTACATTCCTTGCAATACTTACGCATGTAGTTATATTGTATTTTTATCCACTTTGATCTCACCGTTCCTGTTGCCTCGTTGACCACCTGAATCTGTACTCTCTTGGGCAAATCAGCCAAGAGATCTACTTCCACTTTAACGCGTGCATAACTAGGTCTTGTCTTATTCTTTATGGCCAAATCCACATGTAGAGGTTTCCCTACTGCAGAAGCAAGTGAAAATAGTGATTCTTTCACAAAGAAAGTAGGAGGGAGAGTTGGATAAGAAATCCACGCCATAGCTATTGAAGTATCCTCGTCAGGATTAAACCATACATCATATTTTAACGGCCTCATTTGATATTCATACCATCCCTAGCTTTAATGTAATAGGCACCTCTTGACATCGAATTCACATAATCCTCCAGTAAAGTACATCTAATTAAAGCATGCCTAAAACAAAGCAAATCAATTTGAACTTCACCTTTAACCCCACATTGAGTTGGAATTAGTTTACGAAGCTCTTGAATCTCTAGACATCCATATGAAAATTTTCCAACAACTGAAAAATCAAGATTTTCAACGCTATTCATATGCATGACTTCCGTGTTCGTCCCTTGGATCAGTGGTTCTCCGTGTAGAAAAGAGACATGTTTTATAGGAATCACTGGGACAGTAGGGTTTTAGTTTAACTTAGGCTGCATGGATGTATTTAAAAAAGTAGGTTTAAATATGTTGGGGTAATCCAGTGGTGGATTACGGTTAAAAGTGGATTGTATTGGGTGAGGGCTGGATTATTTGGTATTGTGGTGGTTTGAAGAGGCTGACCAGCCATGGAAACAGGTTGGCCACCAGCCAGAGTGGCCATGGCAAGCTTGCGATGGCAGCCGCGTTAGTCTTCTCCTAACCGACACGCTCGATATAGAATTTAATTTTTTTATCTTATCTTGAGTTCATAAAAATTATACTTTCATTACGGACTTAAACCCTTGTGATTGAATTTTAATTTACTTATCTATTTATAAATAATTGGATATACAAATAGGGAAATATTAATAATTTTAATATTATTACTTATTAAAATTGGGTATCATTAAATACTTGTTAAGTAAAAAAAAGCAAGACTTTTACGGAAAACCCCATAGAGTGGTCTCTTCTATTGTAAGGAAAAGCAAAAGGCTTATAGCCTTGGACGAAAAAAGGGTTGGGAAAAGAGCACAAGGAAACAAAAAAAGAGACTTTTACGGAAAAGAAATTGAAGCAAGTCCGAGCGAAGTACTCACGCAGGCAACGAAAAATTTTAGATTTCTTTACAAATCACTAGTTCTTGAACTCACGTATATAAAATTTTCTATTGTCAATTATCATACAGTTATAGTAGGTAAGAATTAGATGGTTAATTCCCTTCTTTCTTTGTATCAACAGTAAGTGTAATGTTTAGGTATGAAACGCTGAAATTAGTTAAAATATATTGGTTGTTGTAAAATCGACTATTTGACGGGTAAAAATTGGACTGGAGCCTATGTATTGGTTCAAGGAGTTTTGAGGTGAGTTGATGTAACACTTTATTAAAGTGGTTTAGCTCACAAAAAACACGCATACAAGGTATTTGATGAATTGGTTAAAAGAGTTAATATGCACTTGATTGGAACGAATGAGTACCTATTAACTTAGAATTGTTCTAGCTAAAGTTTAGATAATTTATTCTGATATATGTGCATAAATTTTCAGATTTTGTATTATTCGTATATGTCGTTTTCATGTTAAAAGTTCATGAGAAAGAAAGAATCTTTAGAAATAGTTTTGAATATTTATTTCATGCTTATGACATGCTTTACATTTAAAGATACCAGTATGAGTATGTATCGACTTTTCTAGAAAAGATTTAGACTTGAATGGTCAAGAAAGTTGAGAAGTTGATTTAGAACCTAGGGAGCACACGAGCCGATCTCGTTGTTGAGAATCTTCCTAGCTAGGCTAGGGTATGTTACATGAGCGATGAGAATTATGAAGCGAGTAACACGTTGTAGATTGGGCTTATTCGATCAGGTTGGGATCAAACTCGTGCCGATCATACGGTGGCTAAAACAGAAATAAGTTAGGATAGTTGGAACTCCCGAAGCATAAAGTAAAGTATTTTTTAGATAAGAAACAAAAAAGAAAAAAATTTCTTTTAGAATATTCATAAATTGTTGTTATAAAATTATTTTAGAATTGTTCTTAGAAGCTTTATGTTTTTTATGCATTTAGAATCTTTGCTTGTAAGTATATTTTATTAAAGTTTCATTCCCTGCTTTAATAGAGGGTCGTTGAGACTCACTGAGTACGATAAATGATACTGACATTCTCTTTTGGGAATCTGCGTTGGTATATGGTATAGTGTAGGAATCGATTTTGCAGGCGAGCAGGCTATATGTTAGGATTTCCCTCACTTCCAGTGCTATTGGCGAGAACCGATTTTGCAGGCAAGCAGGCTAATGTTAGGATCTCCCTCATTTCCAGTGCTATTGGCGAGCTCTGCTTTTGTTCGCGAAATATTCCTTCGAGTCATCATTATTTAGCTATTTCTTTGTTTACTTGGAGAACTAGCCAGGAAATCTCAGGTACTGAGCTGTGCGTTAGTTTATCAGTAGAGGCTTCATATACATAGTCGATGGGTTAAGATTCAGATATTGTTGATAATAACTTTGCAGTATTGCAGTAGTTGCTACGAATAAAGTTTTGGAGTTGGTTTATTTTAGATATTCAAATTAATTAAAAGTATTTGAATAAAGTATTTCCTTGATGCATATAAAGCTTAAAGTTTATTATAGTTTTGATAAGCGTAGATGGTTCGTTCAGTCAAATTTAGCGATCGAATACCGGTCACGACTTGTTAAAAAAATGGGTCGTGACATGTCAACTACTAAATCTACATCTTCTACTAGTGCTTCCTTGCACCAAAATTGAAACAAAAATACACCATTCATAATGATCTTCTGTTTAGAGTTGACTATCTTTTCGTTTCTCTTCTTTTAAATTATCCACCAAATGCATGCCGGGATCATGTTCCACCAAGTCTTCCTTGATAAGTTACATAGATCGTTCCAACATGCTAGCATAACTGCAGTTGTCCTGGGCATTACACTCATTTTTATTTGTTATTATTGTTATTCGTAATTATATGATACCCTCAATTTTCAGAAATTGCTTTCAAATAGATGTCCAACCTCAACCAAAAGAAATCAGGGAAATACTGCTCCAATAATTTAGTGAAGTGTAACGCTAGCTCATTAAGTATCCTTTGAGAGGTCCAAGGAAAATTAATGAGCATTATACTTCAATTATTATTGGTT